CAGCATTATCATCATCATCATCATCATCATCACTGTCTACTGCTGAACTCTGAGACCCCAAACATGATCCTGGATCAATAATCCAATGTTCAGTCTTTTATTTCCAGGCAGCTAGCTCACACCGTTAGCATCATGAGGCTAACGCCCCAGTCGCACTACCCGACTTTATTCTGGAGTTCTGGAGAGGATTTTATACACATTCACAGCCTGATTGATCACATTTATCACTAGAAACATGGTGGAAATTTATTTTTAATGTGTGTTTACAGTATTTTATGGTTTATGCAGCGATAAAAACTGATAATAAATCAACACTTTTGAACTTTTATCCAACGTTCAGCACTTTTCAAATTAGATAATTAAAATATTAGATAACATTTCAGAAAACCTGTAATACGAACAATAATTGTGTGAATGTACGTTATGAACCGATATCTGTTAGTTCTAGTTTTTACCATATTCACCTGTGACACAGAGGATGCCGAGAGTTTATTTAGGAGGTTAACGTCGACATTTTAATGAATTATTGCTTCAGTAAACTCTGTTCTCAAGTCAGTGTTATCTTTTTAACGTGTATAACCTGAGGCACATTCATTCGTTCGATTCCTCTGCAAACACTCTTTATATTGAAATAAGATCTGCTTGAGGCAGAGGTGTGTTCATCAAACAGTCAGCGGCCGTTTTCAGGGTATAAATGTGCTCGTTGGTTTGGAGGAGACATCTCATTCTTCTGGATCTTTGGAGGGAAAGTTTTCAGTCATCCAACCAATCGAACCGCGGAGAACTTCCTGTAGACCTGCACACATGGCTTCATTCAAGTTCACCCTGCTGGCCTGTGAGTACTCCACCTGTTCACTGGCAGTGTTAATAACTGTTTAACTGTTAAAACCAGGCGGTGTTTGAGTTAAGAACTTTACCTTCAGAACTCCATTAAAGTAATTAACGTTTTAACCTCACTGATGTAAAAACAGACTTCATCCTAAAGGATTTGCAACCAGAATTATTTCTTTAAACTTTTTCAGGAAGTTTGGTCCAAGTGTGATCACACAACTCATTTAAAGCAGATTTTTATTATTTTCATTATTGATTATTAATTTAATATAATTTTCTTTGATTATTAGATTCATTGTTACGTCTGTAAATGTCAGATAATTGCCCCAAACCCAACAGAGACGTTTATTAATGTTAATTTTAAGGGAAGAGAATGAACAGTGTGACTTTCCAGACAATAATCTTTAATGTTCTCATGTACTTTTAATCATTTTTTATTGAACTGTGTTGATCTGATCGTACTGTATCACATTTATTGATTATTAGAGTCTGTGTGTTTCAGTGCTGGCCATCGGATTCATACTTTCAGGTAAGAACAAACAATACTGACATTGTGGATTATGTGTAGCATGAAGAGTTAGCAACCTTGTGTTGGATAATTGATCATTTCAATCAACCACGACACACTGACTGTGATACCGAACGATCAACTGAATAAAAAACACCAAAATATTGTAAGAAAATAAAAATATCGGTGTTGCTGCTAGCTGGCTAACGTTAGCTTGTTATCGCTAACAAAATATATATTATATAAGTATGAAACTTTTTGAAGATTACAAATTTCTGTTCATTTGAATCAAACTTCAAGTTTGTTTTTGAAATCATATTTTTAACTGCCAGTTTGTTACATTAGAGTCTGATCATTAAATAAATAAAGATACGGTTTGATTAAAGTTGCTGTTCCTCCTTTAACTGTTATCTGTGTAGTCGCCTCAGAGTCGTCATCAGAAGAAGAATCCGAAGACGGAGGAGGAGATGGAGAAATGAGGTCAGAAGCCATTTTTAGACGCTCTCTGCTCCTTCTTTTATTTATTTATCTTCAGTATTTCTTTCTGGTTTTCGTTGCATTGATATTTGGTCAGAATGGATAAATATTAATAAGACATCAATCTAAAAACAGATATTGAAACCTCTACATGAACAGATGAATAATTAATTCTGTCTGTCTCCCTTTTTAGTTCTACAACAGCAGAACAACCTACAGGACAATCTGGACCGTCTCCAACACCTAAAGTCTCACAACCTGAAGCGTCTGTGAAACCTGTACCTTCCTCCCAACCCAAGAAACAATAGGTTTATACGAGGAATGTATCAGAAATCCTTCCCCTATAAATATTGCTAATTATAAGAGGTAAAAAAAACATATTCATTGCCTTTTAACTCTTTATTATAGCTTTGTTTATCTCATATAGTGCAGTAACATTTGGGGAGTAACTTAAACATTTACTTATGTGTTTTGCTTTATTTACATTGCTTACTTTACTTTTTCTGTACTTTTTTGCTTATTGAGTTGAGATTCCTTCTATCTCACCTGCAATTTACTTCTTTTCTCTTGTTTGTGATTCTGCTGTTGTGTTTTAATGCGCAAATAAATAAATCTGAACCTGAATTACCTGTCAATATCATCTATTTCAATATAATAGCTTTAAAATGCTAAACCCTAAAGTGAAAGAGGGGAGGATAATGTGTTGACCAATCAGATTAGGTCCTGTTTCATAGCTAAAGCTAACAGGTTTGAACATTATTGGACACATTTGGGATAATGAACATAGCTCTAGAGTTTATACACTGTTTATTGATTATAGATTATTGATTGAAACAGCTACATATAGAACATAGAGCTAGAGTTTTGACACTGTTTGATGAGGAAACATTAATCACACTTCCAGAGAGAAATAAGACAAAACTAGCGTTTTACTAGCATTTTTAACTGTTTTAAACTTTAAACTGACATCTGAACTGAATTTTAAACTTCCCCAGAATTGAAATAATACTCACAATAAATTCAATTTAAATCTGTGACACAGTTTAGAACATATAAAATATTTACAACAAAATCAATTCATCTACATCTACGGACATTAAATCAGAGTGCAGTGATTAATACTGTATTTTATTTCAGAAATACTTTAAATAATTTCCCCCTGGGATTATTAAAGTATTTCTGAAATAAAATA